TCTCAGCTTGCAGAGCGTGTTTAGCTCCGCCCACTTGCACCTCCCCAGCGGCCGGGGCGACGTTGCGGGCATCTGGGAATCTACGGAAACAATCCGCCCGGTTTTATTTACGTCGCTCCGGGAGGCGTCGAGTGGAGCAAGATAAGATTTTATTTGATCGTGGAGATGCCTTTTATTTTCTTATTCTGGTTTGTAAGTCAGTTTAGAAACTATGCGACTGCAATGTCTACATTGCACAGATTACATGTTTAATATATTTTTAAAAGTATGTGTCTCGATGATTCTCGAATAACCCAGGCAATATACTGTATTCACCTCGTAAGCAAAGAAAGAAGAGAAGAGTCGACATTTTCAAGTGTTCGCGAGTGTCCCAAGACCCAGCGCATCGCCCGGGAGGTTGAGTGTACATCGTTCATTAATTGTTGACTTCCCTTTCGCCCAGAGGAGCCAGCTGGGAGGAAACTGTTGAGATGGGAATTTCGTTCATAAGTTCTTCATTTTATATTTACGTACACTTAGTTGTATTTGAGGTGCTGTATACGTTTTAGAAAATTAGTTTGTTTCATTTTCTCAGATTATATATATATATATATATATGTATATATATATATATATATATATATATATATATATATATATATATATATATATATGTATAGTATAATATGTCAATACATATATAGATAGAAATATAGATATAGATTGACAGATATGTTCCTAAACATTTGTTTTTCTTCAGGAAAATCAAACTAGGTTAATATGATTTTACTTTTATTTGTCATCATGTGTACAGACATGTCATAATTCTATTTTTTCCTATTTACAAGTCACTGTAATATAATTCAACATAATACGCTAGTATGTATTTCCAGCGTGAGAAGAAGAGACCACGATGTTTTTTTTTTCCTTCTGACGAGGAGTCTAATCTTGGTCGAAACGTCACGTTGTAATGTCTCCCAAATTGCTGTGTCCCGTACTGCACGATATTTTTTTTCTTTGTGAGTGTGTGATAAAATTCATTCAGTTGATTGACCTTTGCATTTTCTCGTAACGAATGACACTAATGATTTTTTTTCTTTCTCTCCTTTCCAGATAAGATGGGAGAAAAATATAACGTTAGGGGAGCCGCCGGGGTTTTTACATTCGTGGTGGTGGTGAGTATATCGTGTTTTTTTTTTCCTTTGTGCGTGTGTGTGTGTGTGTGTGTGCGTGTGTGTGTGTGTGTGTGTGTGTGTGTGTGTGTGTGTGTGTGTGTGTGTGTGTGTGTGTGTGTGTGTGTGTGTGTGTGTGTGTGTGTGTGTGTGTGTGTGTGTGTGTGTGTGTGTTTTGTCGTTCCTATGTGAAGTACGGAGGCGTGCACAATGATCTGGAGTTGAGGTAAATACTTTGCTATAAATCTACTTTGACTCATAGTTCTGAGAATCAGGTAAACAGTAAGACATACTTTTTATACTATTTATTCGCTCCAGATTTTTCTTTTACATTATTTACACAAAATGACATTAAAGAAAATGGAGAGAGCTTCGGAATCTCACCGAGGACGGGTTGAACATGAAGCACCCCTTTTTATTTTCTTCCTTTTGAATAGCAAGAATGATCCCTATTAAAATGAATAATAATATCCTTTCTTGCTCTTTTCCTAGTTTTATTTATTTGTTTATGTATTTATAATGAATAATGACCTGTGGTACTGATCATCAAAGACAAGTGTTCAGTTACGGCAAGCGAAGGAACATGATGCATCAGTAGACTAGGTGGGGGGGGAGGGGGGGAAGGGGGATGAGAGGAGGAGAGGGGTGATACCCTATGGGGTCCGGGGAGGAGAGGGTCTTAGCGTGTTGACCTTTGACACAGCTCACCCGGCGGTCTGAAGCGGGAGAGAGAGAGAGAGAGAGAGAGAGAGAGAGAGAGAGAGAGAGAGAGAGAGAGAGAGAGAGAGAGAGAGAGAGAGAGAGAGAGAGAGAGAGAGAGAGGACGGTACAGTCGCACTTTATTGATCTGTGTTAATTATGCAGAAGAATTTATCCGTGTAACCCTACACTGCTCCGCTGCCGCCTGCTGGTGCGTGACACAGTCTATCCCGCCGTCACACCAGGGCAATTTTCAAGCCTTTGGGGATGAAGGGCGTGCGGCTCCTGCGGGCGTGTGTGTGTGGCAGAGTGGTTGATCTTTTGGGCGTCTGGGGGACCGACGGTAGGCAGGTGGCTGGCGCGGTTAGTATTCTTGGAAAATAGGGAGTACCAGCATCGTTATCATTACTGTTACCATTATTAACAGTATCCTTATCATCATGATTTTCGTTATATTATTATTATTATGATTATTATTATTATTATTATTATTATTATTATTATTATTATTATTATTTATATACGTGTTGGGGGTTCCAGCCGCCAATGTTTGTAAAACTCGCCTGGCCTTCCCCCCCCCCCCCAACTAACCGCAGTTAACAGGTCAGCTAGTATAATTACGAGCCATAAGTACGAACGCAGAGTCACCCAGCGCGACCTACTCTTAACACTACAACACGTATGCTTATATTTGTAAACTTTCAAGGCCTTGGAGCTTTGTTGTGGTTAAGCTAAGGCTGTGATGTAGTGATATTAATGGCTAGATGGTTTGACATTGTTGTCGTCTTTGGCACTTGCTGATTTTGAAACTTCTTTAGCGAGGTTTTGTAAACAGAGCGGAGGAGGGGTGTGGGAGGAGAGGGTGTGGGGCGGGGAAGGGTGGGAGAAGGAGGGGGATAGGGGTGGGAGTGGGGTAGATAGAGGTGGAGAGGGAGAGGGAGTAGAGGAAGAGGAAGAGAGAAGGGGAGGGGGAGGGAAAGGATGGGGGAGTGAAGAAGGTGAATGTGAAAAATAAAAAGGGGAAAGGGAATGAGAGACAGAGACAGACAGACATAGCCTGAGACTGAAAAAAAACGAGAGTCAGCGAGAACGAGAGCGAGAAAGAGCCCTGTTTGCATGCTGCATTCATAGGTCACAGATAGGGCATTCAGTATGCGCATGATAACAGATTGATGAGCGCGACAAGAGCCGATTCTAAATTGGGCTGCGATTGTGCCCAGTGAGCGCCCCCCACCCCCACCCCCCACCCTGTAGTGGACAAACATTTTCATTTTTGAAGTCTGTCTATATATGTTTGTAGACAGCAAGAATGGGATATCTGTTACAACATTAATACACACGCACACGCACATGCACACGCACGAACATGCACACGCACAAGCACACACACACACACACACACACACACACACACACACACACACACACACACACACACACACACACACACACACACACACACACACACACACACACACACGAACAGAGAGAGAGAGAGAGAGAGAGAGAGAGAGAGAGAGAGAGAGAGAGAGAGAGAGAGAGAGAGAGAGAGAGAGAGAGAGAGAGAGAGGGGGGGGGGACGGGAAGAAAATGCGATTGCACGAGGGTGAGAGAGAGAGAGAGAGAGTGATTCTTCTATCATCTTGGCTAGGGTCGTGAATGATAATGTGAGATGATTATAATGGTTGATCATGATGGCGAGGATAACCAGCGTCATAGCCAAATTCATTGCAACAATTTTCATGATACAAAATGGATATCCATGTCATTTTGTCCCGAGATTCGCCATGCATAATATATCGCCTTTATGCCATGCACAACACGGCTGTAATACGCCATGATACAGCATGAATATCAGATAAGGGTGTTTTCGATGATTAATTAAAACGGTATATCGGGAGTTTCCTGCAGTGAGGCCGACGGCGAGGAGGCTGGCGGCGCTGAAGGAGCGGGGACTTGTGTGCCGTCGGTCAGTGTTGTATGATGTAGACGGTGAGATGTAGGATTTGTTATAAGGTGATGAAGAGGGGTAAGAGGAGAGGGGAAGGGAGGGAGAAAGAAGGGAAGGGCGAGGGAAAGGAATAAAAGGTGGGGGATAAAGAGAGAGAGAGACGCAGACGGAGAGACGCAGACGGAAACGCAGACAGAGACACACACAGACATAAACCAACCTTCAGTCAGTCAGTCAGTCATACAACACAGACAGACAGATATGCCTTCTTTTACCCTGTAATTATACGCGAATAGCGCTGCTTGATAACGGAAGAGGTCGTCGGTTTAATATAGAATTGTAAGAGTAGCAGCGCGATTGTTACAATAAGCAATATTAACAATGGCGTCGCTAACAATACACGGTTGTATATTTTCCTTGCATTTGACAGCAGTATGTATGTAAATATGTGTGAGAGCGCAGTGTTTGCCCGCTGTACCGCCTGACTTTACCTGCTGTAGCCATCCTGTCTATCACAGCATCGTCTCTCCACGCTGGGACGCTTTAGTACACCCGGTGCTGCATCTGCTGTAATATCCTGTATCCCTCTCTGCTTCTAATTGATCTGCTGTTGCTTCCGCTCCTCGCTCCGTAACGCCCAGCCGACCCTGGCTAAATACCTGCTGCGCTCCTGCTGTAACGCCCTTCCCCTCCTCCTCCTCCCATGATATTCCGGTCTGTAACAACTGCCGGGCTAACGTGACAGTTACGGAGTTCTCTCGTAACGCCTCTCCATGGATAGAACACGTGGACCGTTAGCTTACAGTTCCTTTAGATTGAAATGTTTTGTGCTTACGGGGCTGAGAGCAAGATTAATGGATAATAAATAATAGGATAGATGGATAGATTGATGAAGTGAAAGTTCCCGCGAGGAAGTTCCAGAATCATAACCAGTAAGGAATCGCAGACACTGAGACACATACACAGAGGGAGAGGAGATAGGAGAGACAGACAAGAGAGAGAGGAGAGAAAGAAAAAAGAACTATCGAATAGGCGAGCGATTAAAACAAGCAGTTTATATAGATTTGTTGGAACACAGGGCAGTTATGAGTGCAGAGATACAAACCACCTTATCGTTTGTATGTGGGATGTGAATGTTATAGGAAGCGTAAACAAATATGACACTTCATATTCCGTCGGTGTACCAGCTTGTGTACAGATCAACATTGCGCCATTGAAAAACATTTCTGGTTTTATGTTTTATTTTCAAGTTTGGAAGTGTTTTCTCTTCTGTGTGTGTGTGTGTGTGTGTGTGTGTGTGTGTGTGTGTGTGTGTGTGTGTGTGTGTGTGTGTGTGTGTGTGTGTGTGTGTGTGTGTGTGTGTGTTTGCGTGCTCGCGCGTGCGTGTGTGCATACGCGCATCCACGTGTGTGTAGGTTAGCTAAGGGTCCTCTGTACGTATCTGAATATAAGGAAAGAAATCCAAGAAACCGTACCTAAAGCAGTTACTGCTTTAGCGAGGTCAGCACAGGAAGGACCTGGGAAGTTTTTGCCAAAGGCCGCACGTGCCCCCTGCCTTTCAAAAGTCCGAACGCTTTCATAGGTGCAATGCAACAAAGCCGCGGCTGCAAGGTCCATTATGCAACGCAGTGATAAACGCTTCCGCACGCCGCCGCCCTTTTGTAGCGCGAGTCGTCGCTATGCCTTTCCACGTCGGTGCCCACGTGCTTCTGCTCGGATTGGTCGGGCCTTTGTCCGTGCCTGGTCGTGTTTGGTTCATGCTCTGTCCGTGCTTGGTCGTGTTTGGTCCGTGCCTGGTCGTTTTTGGTCATGTTGGTTCGTGTTTGGTCGTGCTATGTCTGTACTTGGTTGTGTTTGGTCCGAAGGGCTTGTATGCGGCGATGGAGGGAACCCTTGTTTTGGCGCGGATTGGAACTGGGCGGGGAAGGGGGAGGGAGAGGAAGAGAAGAGGTAGGGGTTAGGGTGGAGGGAGAGGAGAGAAGAAAGGAAAAGAAAAGAATTACACACACACAGACACACACACACACACACACACACACACACACACACACACACACACACACACACACACACACACACACACACACACACACACACACACGTGGTTCGGTGCGTTACATCTGGTCGCGGATGACAGGGCGGAGTGAGTGTGGCTGTTGCAGGCACCCGTCACCTTCACCAGCCGACCATAGTCACGCTCCTGTCATGCTCGGCTGTCTCTCTGCGGTCGGGGCCAAGCACAGCGCCTGATGGACGTTGCGTGCTCGCCGACAGACGCTGGTGATCTGCCTCGACGCCTCTCCTCGGGGCGTCGGCGGCAGGACAACAGCCCTCGCTTAGCTTCTGGAGAGCGATGGCCTATGGGGTGGCGAGTTTCCCTTTCTCTCTTTATCTCCTCTTTTCCGTACCTCGTCTTTTTTTCAACAAAGGTTGAGGCGGGATAATTTTCCTATTTGTTTGGTTTCAGGAAGTGGTTGTGATTCATTTTTATTTGCTTAATTTTATATATTGAGGAAGAGGATATGATTTTTTTTTATTCAGGAAGTGGTCGCGACGGAGGGGGTAACGAGTGCAAAGGCTGGTATTAATTTTCGCAGGGATGTTGACAAACGTTGCGGCAAAAGACCCTGAGATTAGCAAAACTTGATCCCCCCTTAAAAAGTGATGATTCTTTGCTCTGTGTTGTGCAAACAGTTGCGATACAGATCTTATTCGTTCCTGTACTTATTTGGCTCTCGCCTGTTTTAGATGCGAAGATAGGATGGGGGAGAATAAAAAAGAATGCGGAATGAAGTGATAGTGCTTTCTTTTCTGACAGATGAGTTAGGGTTCAAAGGAGAGAAAGCTTCTTGTAATAAACTATGGCCTTATAATAAGACGTCTTTTTCCCACGAAGCTTGTAACTTGATTCCCTAGCGGCACCAGCGACAACCTGGCCACATACAAGCGTATCATTACCCTCCTCGTGCTGGCGTGACATTGACAGAGGCAATATATGCTCCCTCGGCGCGTATTTCCGCCTGTGGCCACTAGAGGCGCTGCGGGTCGCTGCTCGGGGTACGCTCTGGCCTCTCAATTATAGGAGGTGCGCTAGTAAAGTTATTATTTACTGCCCCGGTGGTGTTTATATGGTGGTGTCATGTGGTTATGTTGCGGTAGCTGTGGTTATGGGCGGTTTGTGTGTGGTACCCCTCGTGCCGTGGTTGTTGGGGAAGTGGGTGATCCCAGGGAGTTAACGAGGCTGTCAGGCGCTGCAAACTGCTGTACTGAGTTGTAGGTGTTCGGGCTGATGGATGGGGTAGGCGCGGCCGTGTTCTCCCTCTTGCTTTTCTGAAAAGTAGCTTGTGTTATTGTGCTACGATGTCGCACCGATGGAGGAAGCTGTGGTGTTCATAAGGCAATTTATTTTCTGAATGAAAAGCTTATTTCGATGTTAAATAGACTACCGGAAATCTTAGGGAATTCCTCAAACACAAAAATGGCATAGATAACAAATTTACATATCCTTACACACGAGCGAATACGCTTACGCATTCACGCAAGCAGAAACACCTGAGTTTGTGTTTACAAAAGCAAACGGGCGCACTCGTGCATGGAATCCAGCACACGCACACGATCGCATGCTGCAAATTAAAAAGAAAATTAGACGTAATGATAATGAGAAATCCGGAGCTTGGTGTAAATGAAAGGATGACGCAG